CGGAAAGTTGCGGTGTTACTTTCACCAGACATGGTGAAGGCCATAACACGCCTAATAGATAAAAGAAAAGACTGTGGTGTTCTGGCAGAAAACCTGTTCCTGTTTGCTAGACCTCATTGTCTGACTCCCTACAGAGGACAGGACTGTTTGAGGCTCTATGCGGGTGAATGTGGGGCTGAAAAACCTGAGCTCCTCAGGTCGACGCTATTACGGAAACATGTCGCAACTTTGTCACAGATCTTAAACCTCAAGAATCATGAGTTGGACCAGGTTGCTAACTTCCTTGGCCATGATATTCGCGTTCACCGAGAGTATTACCGACTGCCAGAGGCTACTACCCAGCTGGCCAAAATCTCCAAACTACTGCTTGCCATGGAGAAAGGGTCTCTCAGAAGCCTTCAAGGCAAAACGCTTGAGGAGATTGAAATTGAAGGTAATGCCATTTAAAGTTGTTTACATTAAAATTAGAACTGTTTCTAACAAATGTGTTTTCATGTGTGTTCACATTGTATGTAGGCAATCTATAGCACTTGAATCTCATTATTCATCAAGGTTATATAATTTATTTTCTTTTTTGACTGATTCAAGTGCACAGAGTGAGGTCGATGAAGAGAGTGAGGTCGATGAAGGAAATCTCACATATCCACAGACTGGTAAGTACAGTGTGATTTTTCTTGATTTTGTTTTATTTATGAAATCACATGACTAATGTTAAACTTTATTAGAGATTCTGCAGAGATGAAAAGAACGACGAAACCTGTTGAGGAAGCTCCAGGCACATATTTATTGTCACCAGATGGTTAGACTTTTAACAGTGTAACTGCTTGCTATGATGTATCCCTAACCAATTTTAATTTCACTGTCAAGTCAGTAACCGTGTAATCTCTTACTGTTTTCTTTTATTTCAGACACAATTCGAGGGGATGTTAATTTGTGTCTGAAATGCAAGAAAACAGAAAGGGCCTTCTCGACTTAAGTCCCAGATAGCAATTGACTGCTCACGCAAGCAGACTGCACACACAGTTGGTTTGCATTTTGTAGGTGGGCTGATATGAGGTCACATGCAAAGATGGCGACGGGTGTAGTATGCCCATTCATTTTTTATTTTTTTATTTTTTTTGTAACGTTTTCTGGTTTATTCTGCGACGAGTTTGGATGAGTTTGGAGATTATGAGGAAGAACTGGTGACTTTTTTGAATACCAAAGTTGTCGTAAACTAGACTATTACATACAGCGGAAAGAAATTTGTACAACTTGCAGTTCAGGGCTCATATGGATATTTTTTGCATCTGAATTTGTTTGGTCAGTCTTTGCAGTTTGACCAGTGGAGGGCAGCTGAATTGTCTCCGGATTTCTTCAGAGCTCAGCATCTTCCCCAACCCAGTCTCACGGCAGTTCGTGATATAGTCACGAAATTTAAAGTGTTTTGATCATCGATCGCATACGAGAGCTGAATGTGGATACGAGGCGCCCTACGACCTTCACCCCCCACCGAAGAATGAGGAATCCCTTCGCCTGTGGTTAAAGGCTTTAAATTTGAAGAAACCACCGAAGCGACCGTATGTTTGTTCTTTTCATTTCGTGGACAAAAGACCCACAGAAGACCACCCGATTCCAGAAAAGTGGCTGGGCTACGAGGTCCCAATAAAAACACCAAGGAGACGTGTCCAGAGGTTAGCAGACACAGGTAATGTAAACTCTTGTTAGTTCTCAGTTTGTGTCCCTCTTGACAGTTAATTTCTTTCACATAAAGCCAACTGTCTTTTAAGTTTGTTCTCTCTTTTTATTTATCCATTGTGCATCAATTATAAGAAGTTACATAGAGGACAAAAATGTCTGTGTCAAAAAACTGTCATAAACTTTTAAGCTTGGGAACACAGACTTAAGTTTGGTATCATTTGAAAGAAGACACGTGGCAGATAATTGCTGAAGTAATAAATAATAAGTACATAGGTTTAAGTTTATGAAAATTATATATGAACATTATTTTATATAAATTAAAAAATAGCTTTTGGTAAGATTTTGATTGGGTGCAGTATCAGATGTTCTCCAGTGGGTGCCAGCAAAATTCCACTAGTGCACACAGTGATTGTATTTGTTAGTAGTTGAATAGTCTCTCTTTTAATATTATTACCCAATTGGCTCTATGTGTTGAACCTGCCAAATTTTATGCTGTTAGCATTGACATCAATATTATGCTGTTAGTGATTAAAAACAACAACTGAAAAGAACAAAAATGTCCATAAGGATGCACAAGGGTTAATGATATATTTGTATTTTTCTCATCCCTGCTAGCCCAGGACATTTGTAAAAATTGGAAGCAATATATGCAATATGATTATTTGAATGAGCACTAATACAGGTGTTGCTCTATAAGCTTGCTGTTAAGGTAGTTGTAAGTATTCTAGGTATGTTTTATGTTGTTTGCTAAACTGAGCTAATGTGGTCTTATGTTTGGCAGATGACAGCCACTGTGATGAGGAGGCTGACCAGACCATTCCACAGTCAGAGGCAACTCTGCATAAAGATGCTGACACTCAGTGGGAGGTGCAGGCACTGATGGATCACACCTACACATTAGAAGGAAAGATGAAGGATGTATGCGACAGAGAAACACAATGTGGTGGAGAAGTACCCCTTGCCCATGCCATCCTGAAGAATGACACTAGCTGTGTGTTGTACACAGGCCTTTCTCTCAATGCATTTTTTGATCATGTTAAATATCTGGAACAGTTCTATAAAGCAAACTTTAAGATGCACGAAATGGATCAAATATTGATGACCATGATGAAACTAAAGTTGAATCTACTCCAGGGTGATCTTGCAGAACGCTTTGCTGTGTCCCAGGGGTTAGTGAGCCGGATCCTCTCCTACTGGATAGACACAATGGAGGAGCACATGAGAATCTTCATTCCTTGGCTGCCACGGGACACAATCCGGAGCACAATGCCTCAGTGCTTCAGGGAGAAGTTCCCCAACACCACCTGCATCATTGACTGCAGTGAGACCAACCTGCAGAAACCACACAACCTTGACTCCAGAGGCGAGTCCTACAGCCATTATTATTCCAGCAATGCTATAAAGTATTTAGTTGCTATTGGCCCGTGTGGGCTTGTTATGTTCATTTCTCCTGCTTATGGAGGCAGGTGTAGTGACAAGTTCATCACTCAGGAGTCTGGCTTTCTGGAGTATCTTCGTCCCGGTGATGAAGTGATGGCAGACAGAGGCTTTACCATCAGAGATCTGCTGTTTGAGAGAAGGGTTAACCTTGTTCTACCAGCATTCACCCATAAAGGAGGGCAGTTGTCTGATGAGGACGTAACTGCCACAAGGAGGATTGCAAATGTTCGCATTCATGTGGAAAGAGTTATCAGGAGGCTCAAGGTGTTCAAAATAATCTCCCAGACTGTACCCATCAACTTGTCACACAAAATGGACAAAATCCTCAGAATCTGTGCGGCCCTTGTGAACATGCAGGGGGAAATCATCCACGAGGATGCTGATTGATCATGGACATATATTGTCCATAATATTTGTAAATATTTATTTGACAGCCTGCAGTCCCTTGATAGTACTATAGTTTTCTCATCTGATTTGTCTTTAATAGTCTATTTTTCAGATATCTCTATTCTGCACTGCTGATTAGTTATTTTATAATAAATTGTAAAATGTAATTATAATACAGTAGGATGTGTTTTGAATCTCAGGTTTTATACTAAATAGTTTGTGACACCTTAATGTTTTCAATTTTGTAATGACTTTTCAGGTATTGTATAATATCAACTTATTTTTAGATTATTTAATTAATTACAGATACAAAAACATATTTAACTTGTCCAACTAAAATGTGTATTATTAAAATTTTCTATCTTTATTAATTTGAATTGCTAATGTAATTTGTTTTATTTAGTCATATTTTGATCGAGTGTATGTTATGTAAATAACTAAAAAAGAAGACTAGGAGGCAAGAAGTTATAGTATTTCACTAATTTATTAACTCATTTCATTTCTTTACATTGAATGTATTTACAAGTATTCACTTTTAAAATGGTAAAATAACACTACATTTAAACATTTCACTTATGGCATAATTTGTAGGCCATGTATTATACATATTAATTATAATCTCAATTACTATTAAAATGGTAAAACATCACCATCATGTTATAACAAGAAAACAAACTACACTAGCTATAACAAGAAAAACACCAAGGAACTAGGCTAACAAAGGGACAGCATAACAATTATTAACAGTTAGGTATCAACACATTAACGCAGACAAAGGAAAGCTAATGTCTGGCATGTCCATACAGCAGGTTAAAGGGATCCTCCACTTTTTTTTTTGGAAATAGGCTCATTTTACAACTCCCCCAGAGTTAAACAGTCGAATTTTACCATTTTCAAATGTATTCAGCCGATTTTCTGATATTTAGAAGAATATCTAATTGACTTCCATAGTATATATACTATGGAAGTCAATGAGACCAGAAACGGTCTGTATACTATGGAAGTCAATGAGACCAGAAACGGTCTGGTTACTGATATTCTTCTAAATATCAGAAAATCGGCTGAATGGATTCGAAACCTGTAAAACTCAACTGTTTAACTCTGGGGGAGTTGTAAAATGAGCCTATTTCCAAAAAAAGTGGAGTATCTACGGTGGCCGAGAGGTGCAAAACAAATCACAATTATAAAAACAAAATAACAATTCAAAAAACACAACGACAATTCAGAAAACATAATAACAATTCAGAAAACACAACGACAATTCAGAAAACATAATAACAATTTAGAAAACACAACGACAATTCAGAAAACACAATAACAATTCAGAAAACACAACGACAATTCAGAAAACACAATAACAATTCAAAGAAAACGGAAAAGGTAGGTACATTTTGAGAATGGCAAACTTATCGCTGATTGGACGAGACACCGGTCAATCAAGCCTTACAGGAAGTAAGAAACTTGTGATCAACTTTGTTTTGCTAAATTCGAAAATGGAATACATTAAACACTACTTTGAAGAAGGACATTCATATGCCGTGATTGTGGACATGCTGGCGACATACCACGATATTAAAATGAGCTTGCGCTCTTTAAAAACACACCTGAAGGATGCAGGTATGTACAGAAGAAATAACTATTCGCCTATAAACGATGTAAGGAATGCTATAAGAGCAGAGCTGCATGGACCAGGACAGTTGTTCGGCTATCGGACAATGTGGTTAGCACTTCTGCAGAAACACAAGTTACGTGTTAAACGTGATGATGTTATGCGGTTGCTGCAAGAACTCAACCCACAAGGGACAGAACTGAGGACACGTCGTAGATTCGTAAGGCGTACATATCACTCCATGGGACCGAACTATCTTTGGCATGTTGATGGGTACGATAAACTAAAGCCATTTGGTTTCGGCATATCCGGATGCATTGATGGTTTTTCTAGACGTGTCCTCTGGCTTACTTGTGGGCATACTAACAATGACCCTGCGGTTATTGCTCACAACTACACGTCCTGTGTACAACGCCTTGGCGTTGCACCCATGAGACTACGAACAGACTGTGGAACAGAAAATGGGACAATGGCAGCAATACAGTGCAGTCTCCGCCATAACCACACGGACTACTATGCTGGCTCGAGAAGTCACATGTATGGCACATCAATGAGCAATCAACGCATTGAATCTTGGTGGTCCAGCTTTAGGAAAGCAAGGTTTGTGTTCGTTTCATATTCTTGAGCATTGAAGAAACGTCAGTAAAGTGATGCGTTAGTTATACTATTGCAACTAGTACATTGTAAAATTTCAATTGAAAATAAATCATAATAACACACAAAATGATTTTAGAACAAATTTGATGTCATTGATGTACGTGGACGTTTGTGTTCTAGGGCTCAGTTCTGGATAGAACTCTTTGGGGACCTTAGAAATGAAGGACACTTCAATGGCAGCAATGAACACCAGTTCCTGCTTCAGTTCTGCTTCCAAAATGTTCTGCAGGCGGACTTGGATGAATGTGTAGAACTTTGGAATAAGCACAGGATTAGGCCCTCTAGACTTGCAATGTGCCCTGGAGGGGTACCAAATGAACTCTATCATCTACCACACAGGTCAGCAAATCAAAAATCTGTACAAATTGCATTTTATAACAGTGATTTAATAAGCTTGTTTAAAATACACCACTACAAAAATCACATTGTATAAACGTGTATACTAAATACATTTACAAACAATTTAACTTTCAGGTATGGATCAAGGGACTGTGGCTTTGCAGTTGATGACAGCGAGTTAAGTGCTTTTCCTGAGTCAAGGCTGACAACACAATTATGTGGTGATAAAAACATCCAGGAATATCTAGAATTTGTAATGGAACACAATCAGTTACAGTGGCCAGAGAATTGGGAGGAAGCATTACAACTTTACTTCACAATGAAGGAAACAGCAGGTCTATGAACATGAGTGTTTTAAAAAGGACAGTTGAAACCAAAGAGTACAACCTAGGGTTAACTTGTTTAAAAAGGAAACAATTCAAAACAGAATGTGACGCTGCAAGAATTGTGAACTGAGAATATGGTACATGTAAATTGATCAAAGTTCACTTAAAGTGTTAATTCACCCAAACGGATATTTCTGTCATTAATTACTCTCCCTCATGTTGTTCCAACCCTGTAAGACTTTCGTTCATATTAAATCTGAGACCTGTCTCTCTCCTCCATAGGCTTCTATGATATTGAAACATACCGGCCCAGAAAGTAAAGACGACAATGTATAAAATAGTCCAAGTGATAAGCAGTGATTCTGTGTAGTACGTTAGAACGTAGGCTCACATGTCACACACAACCAACATCGGCCAATAGTGAGCCTACGTTCTGGCGTACTACACAGAATCACTGCTCTGTTACACTACGTGAACTTTGGTTGAGCCACTTGGACTATTTTATACGTCGTCATCTTTACTTTCTGGGCCGGTATGTTTCAATATCATAGAAGCCTATGGAGGAGAGAGACAGGTCTCAGATTTAAGATGAACGAAAGTCTTACAGAGTTGGAACAACATGAGGAAGAGTAATTAATGACAGAAATATCCGTTTGGGTGAATTAACACTTTAAGTGAATTTTGATCAATTTACATGTACCATATTCTCAGTTCACAATTCTTGCAATGTCACATTCTGTTTTGAATTATTTCCTTTTTAAATAATTTAACCCTAGTTAACCCTTAATGAACTAACCCTTTAAAAACATCCAAAACCTGGAGAATTCTGTATTCCAAAATCCATGCGAGTCTGAAAATGACTGTATGTGTCTAAGAGTGGTAACTTAAGTGTGTTTGAGCATGTATTTGCCATTGGGAACAGCGAATTGGCAAGAAACACAATGCATGGTTGTGGTGTAATTCCAGCTGGTGGAACTGATGTCAGGCCAGTAGCAAACATCAGCACATTCTCCAGTGGCACTTCAGTCTGATGTTCTACAAAGACAAAAAAAATAAATAAATGGAACTTTGAAAAAAAGCTACAAATGTCAAGTTACTCTTTCCATAATTAAAGGATAAGTTCAGCTCAATGCAAATGTCCTAATAATGTACTCACTCCAATGCCATCAGAGATATCCATGTCTGTCTTTCCTCAGTGGAAGAGAAAATAAGTTTTTTGGGGAAAACATTTCTAGATTTTTCTTTGAATAATAGACTTCAATGACATCCAACGTTTTGAAGTCCAAATTAAAGATCTTTGAAGTGCTTCAGCGGCTGTGCACAATCCAGCTGAGGAGGAGGGGCTTATCTAGCGAAACAATAGGTCATTTTCTTAAAAAAAAAAAAAATATATATATATATATATATATATATATATATATATATATATATATATATACACACTTTTTAAAATGTAAAAAACAGAAATGTTTTCCTCAAAAAACTAGTTTTCTCTTTCACCGAGGAAAGAAAGACATTGATATCATGGATGGCATTGGAGTGAGTAAATTATTGGTAAGTTTTCATTTTGAGGTGAACTAATCCTTTAACCTGAAAATTACTTTGACTTGCTTTCTTCAGCAGAACATAAATTGCTTGCTCTTGTCCATACAACGACAGTAGATCTACTAGCTTTAACTTCAAAAAACGGACAGAGGTATTATAAACGTATTTCATTGCAATCCTTATTATATTTTTGGGAGATACTATTCATAATTTAATTTCTCCTCCACCCCTAACTTGCATGTAATACTTTATGCCCTATTTGAAGCATAAAAGTTAGTTACAAGTCACTACCATTGTATAAATGAGTGAGCAGGAGAACTTTTGACATTTTTATTTTTGGGTGAACTATTGATCTAAAGATTTCTAAAATTAACCGAAAACATAACATTGTTTGTAAAACTAAATAACAAACCTTCACAGTCGAGGAGATAGTCTGACCAAAAGCAAAGCGTCTTGGATTCCTCTTGCCTCTGGTTACTACCCACTGGGCTGAGTTCTGCTTTGAAGAGGCTTTCCAAATCGCTCGCGGTCAGCTTCTTGTCAGTGTGGCAGAGGTAAGAAGCCAAAACACTTGGATGCTGCTTAAGTGCTGTCAGAAACTGCAGTGTGGCAAGTCCATCTTTAAATCTATAAAAGCAGTCAAGAGTTTAGGCTGTTTTAGTCACAGGCTTGTAGAAAATGTAATATTCATGCTATAAACAGTGAATAATTTAGTGAAATAAAGTAACATTGAAAGACTATAGATATGTTGTAATGTGTATGATTTATTTATTTTTTTTTTTTTACAATTTTACCTTTTAATAACACTGTGGTTTCTGTCTATCACATACCACCTGACGTATTCTTCCACAATTCTGTGTTTCTCCTCAATGCTCTTCACGCATCGAAAACACCCAGCTGTTTGGAGCAGCGTGCTGTTTTTCAAGATTAGTTCTTGTAGTGACTCCAAAGTAGTTGCAATCTGAATCTTAAGACAGAAATCAACAACAGTACATGGGTTTTCATGTCAAAGATTTTTTTTCTTATCGGAATTGAAAGTGAAATAATTCACCACTTAATAAACACGTAAAAGCAGAATTGTTTTATACTTGCTACTGATTATTTCTAGGGTCATACATATTTAAAGTCCCCCTGAACCGGAAGTCGCAAACGATTTTTCTCCAGTGCTGTGACGTATTTCCAAGTGAAACGGAATATTGAACAGAGGGCAGGGTTTTACTCTAGCGCTCCTCCTCTCCATCTCTCGCTCATAGTAAACTAACGGTTTGAGGGGAGTGGTTAAGCGTTTCCCCACCCAAACTGTGAAACCTACGTCATCAGAAAAAGAAACCGTTCCAGACCGGAAGTAACTTTTCAGATTTTGATTAAAGATTACTAAGGTAAAACATTTTTTTAATATATATTCACTTGCACGGATTAATTGTTCACCACAAGACTAGTAATATGCGCTAACAAAGTAAATAGGTTCAATTTTGATTTCACGGGGACTTTAAGTAACCTTACTAATCACCTAAAACATGTCTATTACCATACCTCTCGCAGCACTTTCACTACACCCTCATCTGTGACATCTTCTAAAGTGGCGCTGAAAGAGGGCTGGCCTACAATGTGGTTTACCAGGTCTTTAGAAAGAAAATGGGGCCCTGGTCCACCATGCACTATTGACACTGCAATCATTTTCCCTGCCAAGAAATACTCATCCTCCCTAACAGCTGTCATAGAAAGTAAAGGGAAATCACACACTAAATAAAACGGTTACAGTGAAAAATGTCTGTTACACACATGATTTTTTTCATTAACAGGAACTCCTTTACAAAACAAAACTTAAATACTCACCAACTGAATTGTATACCAGGTAGCGTCTATAGGGAGGTCCATCAAAAATGGGCCGATTCTGCAGGCAGCTCATTAGTAAAGTGAGAAGTTCCCTTCTTGGTCCCCCTGTATCAAGACCCTCTTCCAACAAGCCAGCATCATCAGAGAACTTCACAAAAATGTCATTGAATTCCGAGTATGAGACGCGTTTAAATCCTCTGACTGCCCCATCCCACACATTGGATCTCGTTATGTTGAATCTGCTGACACTTTTTCGATCAATAACAAGGGCCAGATTTGAAATAATATCAGGAGCTGTTACACTGTTTTGTTCCCTAAAGAGAGTAAAAGTATTTATTTATCAATGTAATCAGCATTTGTAGACTTACATTCTCCAATCAACACATTTTTTAGCTTACTCTATTGGTACTGGGAGGTCAAGACCGTGTGCTGTGATTAATAGCTCATCGTCTTCTTCAGTAGTCACAGGTGCATACACTTCCATGTATTTTCTACAAATAAGAGATCATCATTACGCACAAATATAAAAATGTACAAATTCCATGACACAAGATTTAATAAACCAAACAAACCTGTAACACCAGTTCTGCGTCGCAACATGGGCGGAAGTACCTGGACGGTCATCCTCTGAGTCTGAGAGCATTATCTTAAAACAGAAATCAGGCTTCATCAACAGCTATCATGATATAACTATCTTAGAGTAATTTTATACAAGGCATCACAACAGATTCTAATTGGATTGTGGCTGGCAGTTTATATTATTTTTTGTGTAGTGGCTTCTTAAAAGCACAACAATAGACAACTATAAGATCCAAAAAACAATTCACAGGTAATGTTAGTCTGAATAATGGGTTCAAACCACAGTTACTACTAACCTCTTCAACATGTCCTTGTCCACTTCCTTGAGACGGCTCCACGGTAGAATCACTAAACAGCACACAAACAAGGATTACATATAAACTGTGAACAGATGTAATCAGATCTTCTACAGCCCTTTAGATTAGATACACAATATCCAATTCATTCTGCTTTTACAGCAAACATGAGCCATGACAAGATTGAAAACATCTTACATTTTACTGTTCATGCGGTCTTGTGGCGTGCTTGTATGTTGAGGTATTATTGGCTGAAAGAATGATAATAATTACAACAATATATATAGTTGAAAAAAAAACATAAAAAAATGTTTGTTTTTTTCAGTTTTCAACAATTGAATATTAATCTTACCAGTGTGTCAGCCAGGCTAGATTCATCAGTTTTCCGGGTTATGACAACTTCGGAGTCAGATTCTGAACTGAGAACCTGTTCTGTAAGACACAGAACAAAGTAAAACCATGGTAAATTAACTATGCTTAAACAAATGAAGCATGACTTTTAGCTAACTAACCTATAAAGTCTTTCTGTCTGCAAATAAACAAGTTTATCCTTGAATATTGCTTTCCAATTTCTGTTTTGTAATCTTTCAAGGTGAATGGCATTTGTGTCCCTGGAATATTAATGACTTCAGAGCCATCTGGGTATAGAAGTATGTAGGGTCCTTCTTCCATGTCTTTATTGAAGTTTTTCAATTTTGTTTCAGCCATCATGAGGAGACCATTCGCAGTTATTAGTGGGTCCACGAATAAGGGGAGTGTTTTCCCACGTTGTGGTTTTAAGTAGCCACTCTGTAGACACATTATACCGATATTAATCTGTAAGAAAACAAAAACAAAAAACAACTGTATCACTTTAGCAAAAGTGCCATTCACAAACAATCGCTTAACACCCATTTGGAAATTATACTGTAACGTTACCTGTACTTTCTTCTGCTCTTGTTTGCTTCCTCCTTTCTTTCCCAAGGAAAAGTTCGTTCTTTCCTTCGATTTCAGATTTCGGTATTCCAAAAATTGTTTCAAATTGGGCGCAGGTGTTGAGTCTACACCTGTACCTATGCAAGAAACTATACATCAACGCTGTCCGCACACTAACTGCTTAATATTCAATATTTGTCTTGGTATTATAAATCCAAGTCAAGACCAAAAGACACGTTCTGGTTTTAGCTGTCTAGCTAACGTCGTTAGCCATACCTGTCACGGTCTTTGGCATGGGCGTTTTCTGTCGTGTCTCCTTTAAAACCTCGAGATTTTTTCCACATGAATTGCAGAAATTTGGAAGGACGCCATATTTTAATCCACAGAAAGGACAATACATATTCACACATACTCACACCACACGTTCAAAAACGGTTTTCTAACCTCTCTAGTCGGTACTTCCCGTAATCGCTTGATTGACAGGTGTCTCGTCCAATTAGCGATAAGTTTGCCATTCTCAAAATGTACCTACCTTTTCCGTTTTCTTTGAAATGTTGTTGTGTTTTCTGAATTGTCGTTGTGTTTTCTGAATTGTTATTGTGTTTTCTGAATTGTCGTTGTGTTTTCTAAATTGTTATTATGTTTTCTGAATTGTCGTTGTGTTTTCTGAATTGTTATTATGTTTTCTGAATTGTCGTTGTGTTTTTTGAATTGTTATTTTGTTTTTATAATTGTGATTTGTTTTGCACTTCTCGGCCACCGTAAGTATCCCTTTAAAGACTAGAACCTGAGCCTATTTACACATATGTACATATTTATGGCACAGTACAAGTCTGCCTGACAGAAACTCATCTACAATCCTTGGCAGCATGTGACTAAAATAGAAGGACTTGAGTTTAGGTATAACTTGTGAACAATACTCCGAATCGAATGGCACATCAATGACAACTTTCTCAGATGGAGCCCAGACAAGCAGCTTGCATCTCTCTAGTCTTGTACAAAACATACCTAGTTGGACTTGAAGGTAGTAACCACGGGATCCATTTGGTTGCAGCTGTGGAACCCCATCCACCATCTTCACATCTGTGAGCTTGCTGGAAAACACTTCGGCCAAAGATGCACAGTTCTTGGCCAGAACAGGACATTTAATCTCCAGCAGCTCTGTGGAGTTAACCACGCCATCTGGGCTTGCAGAAAGCCATGGTTCTGTGACACTTAACTACAGTGCCTCTCTTCTCAACTAAAAACCCACAGCTCTCCATCCATGCGTAGGCCACCTCCTCATTCTCCTGGCCATACCTGGTTGCAGTGTTCCCATGGAACCTAGGAAACAGGTGCTCTTTGAGCGAATTGAAACAATTTTATTAATAAAACACTCCTTGAAACTCTGTCTGCTCTCTGCAGTACCAAATGTGCAAACAAAAAGTATAAAAATGTAAAAAAAAAAAAAAAAAATGAATAAATAAAAAAAATAAACCTACAGTCATGGAACATACAGTAAGTTCACTTTTGATTTTGGAAAAAAATAAAATAGGCTAATATCTTCATATCTTGTCAGACTAGAAAAATTGAAAATGTGACAACAACAACAAAAAAACCTACAGGGAACATAGGTTAAATTTTGATTTTGGAAAAATCTCACATCTTTTCAGTCTTATTTTTTTGACAGCTCCTTTGACAGCTGCAGATTTTTGGACAGGAAAACTAATGTGTCAATATTGTCACTTGATAGTCTGGATCTAAGTGGGCTACAGATGAGGCCAGAGGTACTGAAAACTCTCTCAGAGGCTGAGCTAGATGCTGGAATGCAAAGGTAATATTTGGCAAACATCGAAAGAAGGGGGAGGCTTGATTCATGCCTTTTCCACCAAGAAAGTGGGTTGTCTGTGGCATTGGTCTCTTCCATGGACTTGTACATTTGGAGTTCTTTCTTTAGTCTGTCATTTGGCATCTCTAGAGATTCCCTCCCGGCTTGACATTCATCTCCCTTTCCCAACTCTTTTCTTTTTTTCTCTGATACAATAGAAGACAGAAGGCTACCCAAGTCTCGTTTTTGTTTTTTGCCAGCTGTTTGTTCTTCCTGCTCTTCCTGAGTTGACTCAATCACTGATTGTGGATTAGAGAAACCAGCTGTGACAGTTTTTTGCATTAGTACTTCTGTCACTTCCTTCTCCTTAGTTACAAATGTGTTCTTAAACCTAGGATCAAAGAAGGTTGCTGAATTAAGAAGAATTTGTAACTTCTCATTGCTGTATCTCATTTCCAGATCGGTCCTGATTTCTGTTTTCATGTTGCAGGTTAGCACAGAGTCTGTATCACTGTCCTGTAGATGTGAAAGTATCTTCCACATCACAGGGATGACAGAAGAAAGTGTTGTCTCTCTTTCTCCACACAGGGCATCAGTGAAGGAACTTAGTGGGCCCAGGACATCTCGCACGGTCTCCAGTGTGGTGATGTCTGTGTCAGGAGGCATTAGGCACCACTTATTCCTGTTTTCTGCTAAAGCAGCACAGATCGCTTGTTGCTGTTCACAGAAACGGTCCACCATTTCAAATGTAGAACCCCAGCGGGTAGGTTCATCGTGAACCAGCTTGTGGTCTGGCAGGTGAAGGAGCCGTTGCTTTTCTTTTAAAAGCCTTGTCATTTTGTTAGATCTAGAAAATGTACATATAGTCTTTCTGAGCCTAGACAGACACGAAGCCACACGGTCCAGGCTTGTAGCCTTGTTCACTGCCATTAGTACTTCTGTCACTTCCTTCTCCTTAGTTACAAATGTGTTCTTAAACCTAGGATCAAAGAAGGTTGCTGAATTAAGAAGAATTTGTAACTTCTCATTGCTGTATCTCATTTCCAGATCGGTCCTGATTTCTGTTTTCATGTTGCAGGTTAGCACAGAGTCTGTATCACTGTCCTGTAGATGTGAAAGTATCTTCCACATCACAGGGATGACAGAAGAAAGTGTTGTCTCTCTTTCTCCACACAGGGCATCAGTGAAGGAACTTAGTGGGCCCAGGACATCTCGCACGGTCTCCAGTGTGGTGATGTCTGTGTCAGGAGGCATTAGGCACCACTTATTCCTGTTTTCTGCTAAAGCAGCACAGATCGCTTGTTGCTGTTCACAGAAACGGTCCACCATTTCAAATGTAGAACCCCAGCGGGTAGGTTCATCGTGAACCAGCTTGTGGTCTGGCAGGTGAAGGAGCCGTTGCTTTTCTTTTAAAAGCCTTGTCATTTTGTTAGATCTAGAAAATGTACATATAGTCTTTCTGAGCCTAGACAGACACGAAGCCACACGGTCCAGGCTTGTAGCCTTGTTCACTGCCAGATGTAGGTTATGGCCAAAGCAAGGAACCCAGTGGTAAGACCTCCCCTTAAATGCTTTGATGTTTGAGGATGCATTATCCGTTGTGATTCCACTTAGGCGTGTCATATCCAGTTTCCATGTTTGAGTTACTGTTTCTTCAAGGACCTCCCTGATGTTCTCTCCTGTGTGATCTGAATGCATTGCAGCACATCCAAGACACCAGGACTGCATTTCCCAAGAGTCACTAATGAACTGAATTGTAACAGCCATATATGCATCAACTGTTCGACTCGTCCAAAGGTCTGTAGTACAAGCAAAGTAAGGCTGGTTGGACAGTTGTGATTCAAGCACAGACCTTGTTTCATTGTACAAAGTGGGAATCTCTTTCTCAGAAAAATATTTTCTCCTTTACATCTCATATCTTCTGTCAAGCAGTTCCACAAGGTTTCTGAAACCGGGTTTATCAACAACAGAAATGGGAATTTGGTCCATAGAAATAAACTCTGCAACAGCTCTGTTAAGTTTTTTTTGCTTCTTTGGAGTGGCTTTCATATTTTCTTGTTGTTGCTAGCACTTCTGAAATAGTAGGCTGGCTTGCAGAAGCCGAAGGTGCTTTTTTTGTTCCTTTCTGTGGGTGTCAAAAGGAGGAAAAATGAAATTACATGTAATTGTAAACTATTAGCTATCATGCATAAACAAAGAATTATCAACATTTATAGCATTCATTCATCTTGATTTAGTTATGGTTTGGTTTGTTTTTGGATTCATATTAGTTTAATGCATTGCATAAAGAATTGTTAACATGCTAAACATGTATTAGTATACTTAAATAATAATTACTGATTGATCTAGATTAATAAATGCTACAATAATGTTAGATCAGGTTACCTAATGAATGTTGACAAATGTAGCTTAATTATAAAGTGTTATTCTAACATTAATTTTAGTAATATTCTAACATTAATTTTAGTAATATTAATTTTACTGTCTCTCTCGGCTGATTCCTCTAGGGGTCGCAACAGCGACAGTAATATACCATTCATTAAATGATCAAAATCATTATAACTCTCTTTATATATCTATATATATTTATAAAAATTCTGTCAATATATAATTGTTTAAAAGTGCAAAAATAAACTTCATTGGTTCTACTTTATCATGTAAGCAGGCACATTTGAGCTTTCATGTTTGCTGTATCATATTTAATTGATAAGCTCTTATGTATGTGCGATCAGTGTTGTGAATAAAAGTCTAAATTAAATCAGTTAATTTGAATGATGGACTCACCTGTCGATCTCTGAAGTCTTTGTACAAGTCGGGATTAGTGATGTGTCGTTCATGAACGATTCGTTCATTTTGAACGAATCTTTAATATGACTCGGGACTATCGAGTTGTCTCAGGGAGTGATTCGTTCATCTTGTGTTACCCGCGCATGCGCATTGCGCAACATATGGATTCTGAATCTGTACTGGAAACAGAAATGATTAGTTCATCTCTCGAGTCTCGAGTCCGAGTCTTTCGTTCTTCCTGTCAGTCCCATAGAGCCTATGCTGTCAGTACCGGAAAGAGAAATGATTAGTTCATCTCTCGAGTTCGGGTTCGGGGGGTCCGAGTCTTTCGTTCTTCCTGTCAGTCCCATTGAGCCTATGCTGTCAGACCACCGGAAAGAGGAATGATTAGTTCATTTGAGTCTTCGGGTTTGAGTCCTTCGTTCTTTAGTCACGTGAATTGTCACCGTATTGAATACCCAAATTCACAAACTTTTTACAAACTAATTCACAAACCTTTTACAAACAAGCACGTAGATGATGTATAATATAATAGTAGTTAATTAATGTACAATATATAATAAAACACACCACAGATGCATAATATAGAAAAGAGACGGACAGGGACAATAATAAGGAATAAGGAATAATGGACGTTTATAATGTTTATTGAACATTTGTATTTTAATGCCTATATAACACAATATTCAGACGCAGTCAATAATACGAATCTAATGTTGTATTTGATGCGAGACCCGTGGCCACGTGAGAAAAGAACGACGGACTCAAACCCGAAGACTCAAATGAACTAATCATTCCCCTTTCCGGTGCTGACAGCATAGACTTAATGGGACTGACCGGAAGAACGAAAGACTCGGACCCGCCGAACCCGAACTCGAGAGATGAACTAATCATTTCTCTTTCCGGTGCTGACAGCATAGACTCTATGGGACT